TCATTCATAATCAAAGACACCCTTGATATGGTTAACAACAGGTGTTGGATAGAACAGACAAGAACAAAGACACCCTTGATATGGTTAACAACAGGTGTTGGACAGAACAGACAAGAACAAAGACACCCTTGATATGGTTAACAACAGGTGTTGGACAGAACAGACAAGAACTTGGCCTGAAGAATAACACAAACAAAATCTAAAAGTTAAAGAGACAGCAATATGATGAAGATGAAACTGAAGAATAATACTTAGACCAACTACCAGTCCTCTAAAGGTTACCAAACATACAGCCAAATGGCAAATTTGATGATATGTAGCTTGAAGTTCACACTAAGATGATAAACATCACAGATCAGCAATAAAAGCCCATTCATTAATGTGGTGGAACGTGACATTCACCATAAAATGTAAACAACCTCTTCAAATAACATTGCCAAGTGGCAAAGGATGGGTTCCCATGAGGGTGTTATTAAGAAAGAAAATGAAGAAGAAACACATACGAAACCACAGTATAATTTCTGTAACCCGCAAAAAGCACAACTATAGTGAGCATAAAGTACGGATCTGATGTAAAAGAGTACGGATCTTATGTAAAAGAGTACGGATCTGATGTGAAAGAGTACGGATAATGTAAAGATAACTCATGGGGTTTCTGGACACTTTTAAGACCACATCACTGATATAGTAGTAGTTGGAAATGACACTGACAATTAACGTTTGAGTGACATTATGACATGTACATTGTGGATCTGAACACTTCGCATCTTTCTCTGTACTCTTTCACATCAGATCCGTACTCTTTCACATCAAATCCGTACTCTTTCACATCAGATCTGTACTCTTTTACATAAGATTCGTACTGTTACACATCAGATCCGTACTCTTTCACATCAGATCTGTATTTTTTCACATCAAATCCATACTCTTTCACATCAAATCCATACTCTTTCACATCAGATCCATACTCTTTCACATCAGATCCGTACTCTTTCACGTCAGATCCGTACTCTTTTACATAAGATCCATACTCTTTTACATCAGATCCGTACTCTTTCACATCAAATGAACACATAAGTACTATATTTGACTTCATATATGGCTTTTGTTCTTTACATATACTGTTCAAATATTATGGTAGTATGTGCATGCACTGAATATTAAAGTCGGGACCATTTTGTATGTAAATGACTGATTTTTGGTGAGAACTGATACAATACCAATAACATGCATCTCATCATGACAAACACATTGCAAAAAATCTTCATATTGACTTGCTGGGAGGTAGTGTTGTATCGAAACTAGGAAAAGCAAAAATTACTGTTTCCTTTAACAGTAATTTATTGTTCACCAGATTTTAGGGCCAAAAACGGCCCTCATCCTTTGATGAGATGTAACCCAAAAATTTGAGCATTATCAGCTACACAAGCCAATTTGTTAATGTAGATAGAGAGAAACTCATCAAAAGGTATAAACAACCTATGTCAATCCCTCAAACAGATGTAGTTCATGCAACAGATAAATGAACAGCCTTGACAAAACATAGAAATCGTTCTTCAAATTGAGAATCTGGAAGAGTTTGGGCAGATAACACAATATGAGAAAAAAGTGACGACCCTTTCTCACAGCCCAAGATTGGTAAGAAGGTTCTATCTGGATAAAAAGAACACAGCTAACCGACAACAGTATCATCAATGGCAGGTGATTTCTGTTGCATCTGAAGATGGCAGCACTGTAGTCTGCAATAGAAGGAGACAAGTCATGATCATGAAACAAGTAAATGAAGGAGGAGGTAGTATGTAAAAATTAAACCAATGGAATTGGTATACTACCAGAGAGGAGGGTTTGCAAGAATGAAAAAATATTTAAGCTACCCGATAAGAGAAGCTTACTCCTCTAAGGACTGCATAACAGCCAGCCATGATGTTGTTGACAACATATTTCACTGAGGAAGATGTACAAAAATAGTAATGGAATAGCATCTCTCTGAAATAGACAACAGAAGAGTGGATCTCACAGTACAATATGGGGCAATAAGAAGGACTTGACAATGGGATCAACTGATCATAGCCAATACCTAAGGAAGATGATGAAGAAGAAGGTATTCTCTAAGCATCCACTGCTAGAGAAGCAGGATTCAGAACTGGAAGCCAATAAAGTACCAGAAAATGAATAACTGCTGCTGTAAATCCATCGAGTACAAGAAAGCCAAATCAAAAGCACCTCAATAAAATACTGAAGAGTGCAGAGTTCACCTGTTTTCAAACGTTGACAATTTTTTGCAAACAGAGAATCCTCTAGAATGTCCGTAACATTTAGCATGTGACAAGCTTGGATAAAGGCATGATGTGAATATAGCCAAAGAAGTAGAGAGAGTCTGTGAGATCAGCTTCCTGCTTGTTAATTTATGACAGTCAAATTGTGTTTGAGTACTATAACACAGCAGTGTTGTAACAAGTGGAGGAACTCCTGACACCTTGCTTATACTAATGCTACGCAAAACAACAAGTATGAGTAGATGTAGCAAGTACTGATGAACATCACTCGCTGGTCTGTGACAACCAGAAGCAGAATAGGATGCTAAAACTCTAATAAACTCCTTCTGGCACGCTTCTCCTGAAAGAGAAATCAGTCAACTGAAGAGACAAAAGGAAGATGAGTATCTTGCAACACAGCCAACTAACTCAAGTACCAAAGGAACATAAGAGCCAGGTGTTAATATCATTGATATTGTATGTGAGACCCACAAGTAATCAATACTACAAAATAGGCATATGATCTTGACTCAAGTAATCGGAAGAACAAGAATTGCTAATAACGGTACAGAATAAAAAAAAGTCTTAAACAAGACATAAATAGCATGCAGGGCAGAAAAACAGTCAAAGTAAAAGACCCAGTAACCAAAGCATTCACAATAACAGGAGTAGATGGAAGAAACAATGGATTCAAGTACTGAATTGTTAAACATGACACAAACATTTTCTGGTGTAACAAAATTTGGTTTAATATATAAAATAGAACATACTCGAAATAAAAAAAGAAACGAGACCAACAGAAGTGTCATCAGGAGAAGGATTAGCAGAAAAATCCTGCACTGAAAGCCAGAGCAAAAGACTGACTTTATTTAAGAAAAACATGGTGGGTATTATATAGATTGAGTGTCCAAACAATGGTGAAATCCATCAGTATCACAAGTACAATGAACAATCACGATAGCTAACAATGCAACTACATGGTCATCCTGGACACTAAATGTAAACCGCATAAGTTAAGGCCTCCAAATAAGTTCCAACAGTTTTAGAAACTAATGTTAAATTCATAAATAACATGATTGTCAACAAAAAAAATCTAAATTACAATGAGAAAGCAGAGGTTATGTAAGATCCCTGATGATTGCACAATAAGCCACATGGAAAGTGGTCGAATTGAGAACTATACAATGCATGAAGGACTTTATGTAAATTTTGAGTTACAATTCGTTAACAGTTAACTCAAGCTAATGTTACAGAGGTAAGAAGACGTGAACTGAAATGATTTAACCTGAAAAGAAACTGTACTAATAATTAAATGACACAAATAAATACTGTGAACAATACTTAACTGTAAGTTCAAATTACTAAATCAGTGTTCTAATACTGCTATCTTCAGCTATTTGCCCTAATTGAATAATGTTTGTAATTTCTTTAACTTTTAAGTTAAAAAAAAATGAAGTTCCATTTCTTACAGAAGTTTCATTTAAACTTTGGACAGTCATACTGAGCCTAATATTTTAATTACTTTTTAATGTAAATTAGATCTTTTTATCTTCTTACAGGCTGTGTCTAAACAAATTAAGACTTTCTATCAAGTATAATCATGCCACACAGCCACACGGACTGGCCACTTTATTGGGATTACCACTAATATGAAATATGGACCACCTCTTACAACAATAATAGCTTGGATTCTCAATGGCAGAGGCTTCAAAGATGCTGAAAGGTTAACATTTGATTACAGCCCATTTGTTGAGAAGTATGGTATGTAGTTGATTCCCCCTATGTTCTCATATTTTTAAAGTGACAAATATAACATTAAATTTTGAAGAAAAGGTGACTGTGGTAGTCAAGGAAGATATCTCAAGTAGCCGTTATGCTCTTAAAACAATTTTAGCAAAATACAAGGGTGGTGCTATGTTGAACTGTCACCCTGGAAGAGCTCTCATCCATCAGGGTGGAAATGCAGCAGCACTGTGAGATGAACAAGTTCGGTAAAAAGGGTTCAGGAACGTTCTGGATGTTATTCACCCTTCTCAAGGAAGCTTGCTCTATTGGAATAATACAAGCAAAGCCATAACTGAAGAAGGTGAAACCTGACTCATCAGATCACAATGTTACACACTTTTGGTCACTCACTGTCCACAGAATATGCTCTTTGCATTTGACGCAAGCAGTTTTGAACTGATTTGTTGGCCATCATACTTGTATTTGTGCATTTTGGTCGTAAATAGTCAATTTCTGGCCACTGTTAAAGGAATTTAATAATCGAGACAGTCAAATATCTATTTCACTTTACAAACTTGTCTAATAATCATTTTTTTCAGCCAGTCATCAATGTTTCCTGACCACAGATTTTCCTAATCCTTTTTGATTAACACTGCTGATACACTCTGACAGCATGTCTTTCAACATATAGTAAAAAAAAAGGTCCTTTCAGATGAACACCCACTATCATGCCCTTTTGAAAGATGAAGAGATCATTACACTTTTCCACCAGTGTGTGTCGTAAGTGCAAGTGAATGAAATGGTCTGTGAGTGTCGGGGAGAAGGTTAATAAAATAGACCAATCAGTGAAAGTTGAAAAAAAACTAGGCCAATCAGTGAAAGATGAAAAAAAACTAAGCCAATCAGTGAAAGATGAAAAAAAAACTAAGCCAATCAGTGAAAGATGAAAAAAACTAGGCCAATCAGTGAAAGATGAAAAAAAAACTAGGCCAATCAGTGAAAGATGAAAAAAAAACCTATTATTTACAAAGTATAGCTCTTAAATTGTGAAACGAACAATAATTTAACATGTTTCTATTATTTATTGCAGGAAAATATATCACAATAATGTTCATTTTTATACATCTTCCAGGTGGCACAATAACTTCTACTCTTCAGTTCTGGATGGAAGGCAATCTCATGGTTCTTCTTTTTTGTAAAACTTTATCTTCTTAAGAAGATAGATGCCAAAATTTTACTGGATCAATACAATCTTTAAAGTATATTAAACTCATACTGGTCTAGATATTATATAAATTAAAAAAAAACATAAGACAATCATCATAGTTTTATACTTTTGCTGATTAGACAAATAAAAACAAGACCTAGCTAGTCTTGGAGCACTAAGAATGTACCTTAATCTTACCTGGTTAGTCAAAGCAATAAATAAAGCTAGTAGAAAAAGATAACAGTTCCAGTTGTAGAGCTCCTGAATTTTGTCAACTGAATAGGAAAAGAACTGATAGCTCATGTATGCCAGAGAAGGAACTGTAACCATAAAGTTGTCACCATTAGTTTCAATGAAGTCGTGACGGGTTATTGATGTTGGATCAATGTGGTGCTCTCTGAAAGGTCTGATAAATGCCTGAAACATGACAAAATTCAGTCTTTTCATTGGATGTATGATGTTTTTTAAAGTTTCATTCTGTATTTTGAATGGTTTTTGGGTAACACAAACTAGAAATAATTGGCCGAAAATAAAAATTTAAACCAATAACATATTCTATACAGAATTTATGAAATTTATATAAGCAAAAGAAACCACAAAAACTTCACACGTTATCTTCAAAAATTACAAATTCATTATGACTTTATGGAAAATTTTGCCATTTTAACAAAATATGAAGTGTAAGATGGTATACATTAGGAATTTCCAAAATTTCTCTGTGCAATGCCCCACGGAACATTCTACATCCTGTCTGAGCCCCCACCAACCCAACCAATGATGCTATACATACTGAGTACCTTACTTTTACTGTAAACATATTTACCAAATGATATTTTAAGATTTGTTGATTTAACTTTTCATTTTAATATTTTATGTATTTGCTAGAGTCCCCCTGAAACTGTCCCGTGGCCCTACTTTAGGAACCTTTAATCTATAGAACTTTATTTCGTCTACAAGTCATGGAATCTCAAAGTTTATATCTGATATCTTAAACTATTCCAGCCAACTGAGCTGCACCAACTCTAGAGAGGTTTCCTGTCGTACAACTACAAATAACAATAAATGTTACCATTTTTACATTTATCCAATTCTACTTTGGTAGGACTGGCTCATGACTGATATTGGCACATCACATCAAACTTTGACAGCGGTTAAAAAAGTTTTCTTATCATCGACAAACATTGCTATAACATAAACAACACAACATCTTCTAAAGTTCCAATTATATGCAAGTGAAATATCACATGTTGCTTGATTATGCTTGATACATTCCGAGCTTACCACTTTAGGATCAGACTCAAAATTAATTCAAATTAACAGGTTTAATTGAAGAATCATTGGTGAAATTAATCAGAAAAGGTATTAGACATCTGTTAAGTGCACAATTAAAAAAGCAAAGTTTAAAATAAGAATACAAAATTTACTTGATTTGAAATACTTTTACTTGAGAGTTATTTACCTCTGAATTAGTGAGGTGTTAATATGTCTGTCATAACCAGATCGGACTGATCAGTCTTGGTATTGGGCACAAGGCCTCATAGGCACTGGATATAGCAGATGTAGAGTAGCTGATATATTGTTATACATTCTTCATGACTTTCAGTCACAAGTTATAAGAATTATTATATACAAGCCAGACATATTTTAAGGTTCGTTGTAACAAATGTTTCGAATTATTAGTTTAAAATCTGGAATTGTTCTTTATAGAAGAAGAAGAGAAACATGTTTTTTTCTTCTTTGTGGATTTCACACAATGCTACTCAAGGGCTATCTGCTCTAGCTGTCCTAATTTCGAAGTGATAGAATAGAGGGAAGGCATCTATTCTATACCACTGACCACCAGTTTGTGGATTAACCTTTACCAATGAATAATGAGATTGGCCATCATATTATAGTTCCCACACAGTTGAAAGGGTGAGCATGGTTGGTGATGGAATTCGATCCCACAACCTGCATATTGCAAGTCAAGCACCCTAATATCAAGTCACTAAGAACATAGTCTAAACAATGAAAGCAGGCAAGATATTGAAAAACTAATAGGTCTTCAAATTGTTGTCAAAAACATCTACAGTTAACTTGTTTTTATAACAATATGAAGAATACATCAGGATGCTTATAACAAGATAGTTTAATGACATTACACAGGACAACATATACATTTACTCAGTACGTTAGGAATTGACAGTAAATGAGAGATATATGTTTTTGTGTGTGCTGAAAGGAACTTGGAAATTCAAACAAATATCAAATAAGATCAAGGTCATTCCCTTTTGTTAACAAATAGTTTATCAAACAATTACTGTCACAAGTTAGAAGATAATGACCTTGACCAAACAACACCGATTGTGGTTTTTTTTTTTATCATGTTAAAAAGAAAAACCAAATGAAATCTTTGGGTCACATGGGGTCATCACCTGATGGATTTGGTAATTTCTGCTCGAGATAATTCCCTCGTTTGCGAACAAAACCAATTAAAAAATCACAACAGTTGAAGTTACGTAACTGCAAATTAATACAGACTAAAATGAAACAGCTTCAGGTACGTACCTTGCCAATTAATGGAAGTTGCACAGATCCCCAGGTATCAGCTGCCCAGTGTACTAGTCCACTCAAGAAATCTGCTGTAATAATACCACTCACTGTAAACAAAGAAATAATTACCAGTCACATATCCAGTGGCATATAGGACAATGGAACATGAATACATATTTCTTTACAATAATAGAAGATTGTTAGATGATTTAGATTTTACA